ATTTCTAATTGCATATGGGATCAATACTTAGGACTCCATTAGAGCCCTTTATTACTTGAATGATACATATACTTTCATTATTATTACGGGTTTGACAGCTTTGAGATTTTAAAAGATAAAATTAGTTTACTCAATTTATTTTTATTTGGATTAAACTGCATATTTATTATTAGTGTTAGCCAACAGCGCATCAATATACCTCTAAGTGCTCACCTCATGAGGAGTTTAATGACAAGCTATAATCTTCCATTGATATGTGATTGTTCGCAAGTTCTAGAAACTTAACTAACAATTTATGAATTCTAGACCAAGCATGTATCATAATATAACATCTATCAATCACTCAGCTAGATCTGCATGGGCAGCTGTAGGTTACAGATCTCTTAACTCTGATATCACATTCTAAATATGTGTCACGTGTATAAGATCTCTCCCCGATCTAACAAATCAATAACCATGCTTGTAAAGTATAATTGGATTTTTGCACACTATCAAATTACACTATGAACATACATTTTGAATCTATAAAAAAAAGTGATTATTATTAATGAAAAGCTATTAAGCATAAACTCTGAGTCATGAAGATGAGTTGGCATTTTAGTTCATCATTTATTATTAGTTGACATATTTTGGATTCAAACGAGGTTACATGATTTGAAGGCCATCTTGGTAGAAATTTAGAGATGGATTCTTGAAACATGTAGGAGATAGAGATTTCACAAAAAAATGCATTCTAATGGGGCCTCAAAACATTTAATCTTTTTTTCTCTTATTATGATTTCACTCAAAACATTCTAATGGGGCCTCAAAACTGAGATATCAGGGTAGTATGTTTCATCTTTAATTATTGATGCTAGTAAGGGAATTCTTCTTGTCCTGATAATGGGCTCACTCCTTTTGGTGTGATGGAACTACTAACTAAGATGGTTCTTTACATATTTTATGCTCAATTTTAATGACTTTTAATGATATTACACTTTAAAAGAAGGTTATTTGCATTGTTTTTTAAGTACACGAAATATAATTTTGGAGAAAATGAAGCAAAGATGGTGCAATTTGGAGTAAATACGAGCAAGAAAGAAAATTCTGACTTGACACATTTAGATATGTCTTTCTATGCTTAATCTACTTTACATTTCTCACATGTTTTTTAATGAAATTACACTTTAAAAAAAGGTTGTTTTCATGCTTATTTTGTAGGTATATTTGTTAGGAGTAAACCACAACTAAAACGGGGCGAAACGAAGCTGAAATTGAGCCAAACGGAGCAAAATGGTGGAGCTGCTGCAGAGTGGCGCCTACGGAGCCAAAATCTATAGAACTGGCGCCTGAGGCACCAGAGATGATATAAGATGTATTAAGGCAGGTCGGGACAAATTTTGAGCAGATTTTGAAGGCTCCAAATGATTCAAATGCCTCATGGAGTGATTCAATGCATTGATTCAATGCATCTATTGATTCAATGCATATAGAAACTTTAAAATGCTCCTTAATGAAGGGATATGTCTCTTGAATGAATGGACATGTCTTTTGGGATTCAAAAGGTGTAACTTTTGGAAATAATTTGGGAGGGAATTTTGAATTCTTTTTGAAAGGAGACAGCCCCTAATTAAAAAAGAGAGGAGTCTAGGGCATGAGTGTGGCGTGAGAGTGAGAAGAAGGCTTTAGAGAAGAGAGGATTTTCTTCTAAGGTTGTAAGAGGAGAGGGAAGGAGAGAGATTTCTTCTTCATTACATTTCTATGAGAGAATTGAGTGTGATTGTAAAGATACAAAGTGCTTAAAGGGAACTTCTAGAGAATTGTTTGGGAAGGAGTGTGAGATAAGTTGTGTTTTTTTCTTTCTTTATTTTGTAAACTAATTTTTATAATGAAATTCATGTTTTGTCATATCCTTCTCATGAATTCTGATTAGTCTTCTTTATCCTTCTCCCTACAATGAGATTTGGTTTTGTGAAGAATTGATTTTGTTTTATACGATTTTAAATGTCAATAATTTGAGATGATTTGAACTCCGATCTTAATTTACTTTTCGATCCAGCCAATTGGAATGTTAAAATGTGTTAAGAAACATATGATATGAAAGTCTTATGATTTCTAAAACATGTTGAGAGTCACATTCGATTCCAAGAGAGAGTATGTCATCCATGGGGTTGAAATGTTAAATTCTGTTGTGAAACATATGATCCGGGAAATGGAGTATGAGTTCTACAATAGAGTGAAAATCACATTTAATTCCATGAAGGAGTGTTTCGTTCATGGAATTAGGTGCAAATAAATAGGAAAATATAATTTGTTGGTCGTAGAATTGTAGATTTTAGGGTGACAGAATAAAATCCTCAATTTGGTCTTAGTGTTTAAGAACTAAAGCGAGTGTTAGCATTCAGGGGAAGGGAAGTGGGAGCTCTGGAGTGAGAGCCACTATCATCCCAGCCTAACCACAAAGTTATGAACTAAACCTAAGATTAGCCAATGATTCTCTATAAAACTGAATGAGGGTAGAGAATTAAAACTGCTTCTATTTGTCACAATACAAATTAAATCTGTTTATCTCTATCATTAATCAAAAACTCATTGTAGTGGGAAGGATACTTTCTTAAATTTGAACTCTTCATCACAATACTTTCTTTAGTCCTAATAAATTTAACTTTAAAGTTTAGAAATTAATTTAGTAAACTTAGTTTCGTTAGCATTCATCAAAACCACTGTAATCAACTTTCCAAACGAATTGCTTATAGTAGTAGACTAGAATTAACCTAAGGGATTTCTTAACTCGCTTCTTCGTGGGATATATACTGAGGTTTTTAAAGAAAACCCTATATTACTTTAAGCGATACGTGCACTTGTGTATGTAGAACCACTAATATGTAAATTATTTTATATAACATTTCGATTTCTCACATTAAATACTTAATATAAATTCAGCCAAGATTTTGACCTGACAGAATAAAGTTCACAATTTAGTCCAGTTGATTGGAAACTAATGCGAGATTGTTAGCCCTCAGGCGAGGGGGACGCGGGGATCGGGAGTGCCAGCCGGTATCCTCCCAACCTAACCACGAAATTAGGGACCAAACTTTGAATTAATCAATGTTTTTTATGCACTTGAAAGAGGGTGAAGAATATGATTGCTCCTATTTGGCACAATACAATTTTATATACAATTTTAAATGATTTTAATTACTTCACTAACCATGTACTCATTGTAAAGAGGAATGATGTTTTCTTAAATTTGAACTCTTCATCACAAAACTTTGTTTAGTCTTAGTAAATTTAACTTTGAAGTTTTGAAATTAGTTTAGTAAACTTAGTTCTTTTAGTTACATTTCTGCTAGTATTCATTAAACTCATTTTAACTTGTCTTTCTTAATTTAATATTTATAGTTTGAATATTGTTATTTATATTATTATCATAAGAATTTTCATTTTCCAAACTAAGACTTGATAATAGTAGACTAGAATTAACCTAAGAGATTTCTTATTGCGCTTCTCTGTAGGATCAATACTGAGGTTTTTAAAGAAAACCCTATATTACTTGAAGCGATACATGCACTTGTGTAGAACCACTAACGTGTGAATTATTTTATATAACATTTGGATTTCGCACATTAAATACTTAATATAAATTCAGTCAAGATTTTGACCATATTTTTTTAAGCTAAATTGCTGCGTAATTTCGGGAAGGGTCAAATTTATGACACTATTATCGGGGATTTAAATTGACATAAAACACACAAAAAAACGACACACACCAAGGGCGCGTCATGACATCATCATTGGAGCAAGAGTTTATTTGATCATTTATATTATTTGCTTCTTGCTCTTGATATGTTGGGTGACAAACTCCTTACCTAGGTTCATTTTACTCGTAATTTCTTTGTGGCTGTTCTTCATCTTATGTGGTTCATCATTTTGTTTGTGGCATGGCCTTGGTCACTGAACGTTTTCTACGCGTTGAATCTCATTCTTTTCAAGATTCACACCTAATGAATAGAGCACAACGAAAGGAAAAGAAAATGGGAGGGGGAGGAATAGAGGGGGAGGGGGAGGGGGGAGAGCGAGAGAGAGAGAGAGAGAAAGAGAGAGAGATTTGGACTATTGAGTTTTGTGTTGAAATGCAAGATTTTAGTAATTAGGGGTGTTCTCTAGATAAAAAAAATGCTTGAATCCCTTTTACAGTTAATATCTTAAGCCTCTAGGGATGTATGACTATCTTTTTTGGTTATATAATCATTAAACTAGGATTTTTTGAAAATATATTCTATGCTTGAATCCCTTTTACAGTTAATATCTTAAGCCTTTAGGGATGTATGACTATCTTTTTTGGTTATATACTCATTAAACTAGGATTTTTTGAAAATATATTCTATTTAAAGTGAACTTAATGTGTCACAAATGATGAGGGTTCCCTGCCCATAGTGACCTTCCTCTCGATCCTTCATGCTCAACCATTTGTATTAAGCCTTTCGTACTCAATCATGGGCATTCGACCCTTCATACCCGACCATGGGTATTCAACTATCCTTTGTTCGAACATCCAGTGCGCTATGTTTACCTTCCCGTAGGCTTGATTTTTCGACGAGTCTAAGTTGAGATTAGGAAGACCTAAAAGTACATTCTACTGGTCTGAGTAGTTACTTCTCGTCATACATATGCAAAGAAATCAAATAGTGAAAGAAGAAAGAAATAATATGATGAGAGGGGTGCGGGATGTAAGAATATTTAAAATGATTCTCTTATTACAAACATAATATAATTTGAGAGGGATATAATTTGAAAGTAATGAAGGGATGCAATATATTTTGGCTAAAAAATTAATTTGGACATTTTGTTAAGAAGACGTAATAAGCACTTAATTTAAATTAATGCATTATGAGGCATAAAAATCCAAATTCTTATTGGAAAAGTAGTTCTTATATTGTCTTTTTTCTGGCAATAATGAACAATGAAATAAAGAATCTATTATTGAAATAGTAATTAAGAAGAACTAAAGGTTTCCTTTCCTAATAGGTATCGAACCACAACCCTTTCATCATTGAGTATCAGGTGACAGCATTTTTCCCGGACGCGGTCCGGCGGTCCGGCTCATAAAATTTGTGTTACCCCAACTGTATGCTCCCCACCATGCTAAAATTCCCAGCCAAAATACTTCCTTTAGTTCGCCGCATCCAATTCTCAACACCGAGACGGCCACAACTATCTTCCGGTGGAAACCTACCCGGGCTGTCGTCATTGTTGTTGCAGACAATGGATTCGGCGGCGCCGGCGTCCCCAATCCGTGTGTTCTCGACTTTTTCCTCGCCGCTGGACCGCCCCATTGACGCGAGCTCATCGATAAGGAAGCCGCTTAGTCTTTGGCCAGGGATGTACCACTCGCCAGTGACTAACGCGCTGTGGGAAGCGAGGTCAAGCATCTTCGAGAGGCTTCTCGATCCGTCCATAGAGGGACCGCCGCAGAGCGAGCTAATCATGAAGACGCCGGCGCAAAGTCGGACTAGTATAGTTTACAACTTCTCCACTGACTACATCCTCCGTGAGCAGTATAGGGATCCATGGAATGAAGTCAGGATTGGGAAGCTACTGGAAGATCTGGACGCGCTTGCTGGCACCATCGCAGTCAAGGTTTGTGTTTGGCATCTTGCTCTTAGTTTTCGTTGTTCCAATTGGGGGTCTGAGCCTGAATGCATTGCATTTTGTTGCTTAGTTGATAAGATACTATATTGTTTAGTTCTTGTATTAAGTTAGTAAGAAACGTTGATCAGTTAAAACTTTGTGTTAATGAGATTCTTGTACATCTATCAATACTTCATTAGAAGATGTTGGGGAAGGAGTGAAAAAATGATGTATCTTGGCTATGCCGTGTGCTTTTCTCTCATTTTCTTTCACCTAAAGTTTGGAGTTCTGACATTCTCGAATTGTTTTTTATCGCGGTTCTTAGAAATAAGATTGTATTGGTGATGCTCCCATTGAGACACCCTTCCTATTACCTTCCTCCAACTTGACTTCCTCGTCCCCTTCTTCAAACATGCCAAATCACAACCATGTAATTATCATCTCCGACCTTCAATGACCACCACCTCCTTTCAAGATATGGCTTGTGCATAGCATTTTCTATCTTCACCCTTAAAGATTTTGTGGCATTCCCACAAGCATTATTCCACTCATTTAGGATTTATAGTTGGTATTCACTGCGACTTCATCAATGAGAGGACTCTTCTTCAAGCCTTTGTCCTATAGCGACCTCTAATCTTGTTCAAATGAAGTTGAAGCATGCATCAATAATTTGTATGAGTTTTGCTCTAGCTGTCATGTTTCTTCATCTTGTTATAAAATTTAGATGACCATTTCATGTCTCACTTCCCACTCTTAGGCCCTGTGTGGACCACTTTTGTTTTTGTTTTCTTATTTTTATTTTTATTTTTCTTTATTTATGTTTTGATTTGAAATAAAATATATTTGACTATAGTAATTACTTCTAAAAACATTCAAAATATGTTTTAGGTGTTTTGACTATAAAAAGAAAATAATAAAAATACATAAAAATTATATTAAGAAAACATGTTTTCAAAAACAAAAGTAAAAATGAAAACAAAAATCAAAAATAAAAGTGATGCCAGATGGGCATTTAGCATGTCCCTCCTCACTACCAATTTTTGCCTCTCTCCCTTTTCCTCACCACTTCTAACCCTGTTCTCTCCCTCTTCTCACCCCTCGCCTTCATTTCTTTTCGTAGCTCCATGGGACTCTAACACTTCCTTTCTAACCTGCAATCTTCCCCCCATCAACACCCTCCCACCCACTCTGCATTTGAAGACCACTTTTCCAAATTCTTCTTTATTGATCTTCCCATTTTTATCTTCTCTTCTCCTTCACAAAATCGAGTGTCTTCTGCGATGAAGCAACCTTTTCCCTTTGTTCACATTTTGTTGCCGCTAGTCTCTCTCCTTCAACTCTCCATTTCCTCCCCTTTGCTTCACTTTTTCTGATCTTCTCAAGTCTGTCAAAGTCACACCTTCTAGGTGTTTGATGAAACACTTGTTACAGATTTGCTAGTTTATTGGGGAAACTGAGATATAAATTCTATTGCTGGACTACACCCTTACTGAAACAAGGAAAATTATGATTTTTGCAACACAAACAATCTAATCAAGAAGTTTGATTGTCGAACCTTGAGGGCATGGTCATTTTAAAGGGGTGGGTAATATTAAAATATTATATTATTTAGTTCTCGTGTCTAGGTTAATAGAGAAAGTTATTTAGTTAAAAATTAATATTAATGAGATTCTTGAACATCTATAAAAGCTCCATTTGTTGATGTTGGAGAAGAATGAAAAAAAGAGATAAGTTTCTTCTCTAAGTTGTGTTCTCTTCTCTCTTTCTTCCCCACCTAAATTCTAGTGGCCCTGGTATCCTCGAATTGTTATTTATCTTAATCTCATTTCCATGCCATCAATCAAATTGTTTGGTTCAAAATAGTCATCTTAATTCAGATGGATAGGCTTATTAGTAATTAATTGTCCAACATTGAGAAACCATGAAAGAGATGCCATCATAGGGTAGCCTTTTAACATAACTTTTTTTCTTATCGAGTTATAAGTATGGTATGCTAAATTCTTAAAAAAAAGTAGTAGTTGAAAAGCTTATTTTATATGTCCTAAGTCATTCTAGAAGTCATCCCCCATATAAGGTAGATTGCAGGATTGGAAATTGATTTTTTTTTTTCTTGGTGAGATATTTTCACAAATTTAATCGCAAATGTATAAACACCGCTTATACATGACCATGAACCATGGACTTCTTGGTTGACAACTTAGTGTCACCTCCCAAAAGAGCTCTTATGGGCGATGGGCAGCCCAGGACTTAAATACTGTTTTTTGGCCCTACACCTAGCCAATGTGGGACTATTTGTCCGTGACATTTTCCTTCACCCAATCACATGACGCCCTCATCACAGATCGGCTTCACTGAGGGTCCCACAGAACCATGGAGAGTCCACACTCCTGACAGGCAGTAATCTGCTCTGATACCACTTGTCACTGTCACCTCCCAAAAGAGCTAAGAGCTCTTATGGGTGATGGGCAGCCCAGGGCTTAAATACTGTTTTTTGGCCCTACACCTAGCCAATGTGTGACTATTTATCCGTGACATTAGGCTCTCAACCAATAGGCTAATATAACTTTCGTGAAATTGATTCTTTTAATATGTGGGTTTTATACTAATACAACTGTCTGATAAGATTTCTATTTATAAATTCTCAAAAATATAATTGAGATAAGATCTATGAGAAGATGGATGAATAAAATACACCAATACTATTATAGGCTTATATTTTGTTGGATTCATCATACAATACTTTAGATAAAGGATTGGCAAGGCTGGCTCTTGGATTTAGTCTAAAGATAATTGCAAACGACGAGCTATGAAGCTAAAATATCGGCATGAACATTGGGAGATTATATAATTGTAAACAGTAGGACATGGCATGCTATGAACATTATTTTTTTCAATATTATTTATTTAAGTATATGATAAAAAATCTGATTTCAATATTTTTTATTTTGTAGGATTACATAATTGAATAGAATATCATTTGTTTCACATAAAAATTTTGGGCGTAACAAAAGAAAAACTAGCATTAATATAATAACAATTACATTTCAATATTTTGTCAAATTCATGAAGAACCAACATTAACATAAATTATTGATGATGATTTCTTTTCACTGTTCTTGAAACCACTAAAAAAGTATATATAATCTTCATTAGAATTTCACAAAATACAAACAGACTAATACATCAATTGAATGCTACAAATTCGTCATAGATATATTCATTAACAAAACCCCTAAAAAAGGGAATATAATAATCAAAAGAACCTGACAATATTATCACATTAATACATTAATGGATGCTACAAATTTGGCATATATATATTCATTAACAATCCAACCTGAACCAGAAATTTAGTTAACAACTTGTATGTGTCATGTTTGTGCCAATGCATGTCTCGGCCTTTTTGGGACGTGTCCTTGATATCTTGCCTCTGGCTTGGAATAAATTTGTTTTATTTGCGATAGTTTGATATAACTAAATTCGTAGAAATTATCCTTCATGGATGTTACCTTATTTGTTGAAACATTACCTTAGCATAGAAACTATTAAATCCATAACCCATTGCTCCAATATATGCGTTTTATATTTTCCTTTATGTCGGATGCTTTAAGTTTCTATTTCACAATTTGACGAATTTGCAACAAATATTGAATTGAATGTAGTACTCACTAGGACGCTTGTATTTTCCCTTTTTTACTTCTACCTTCCCTTCCTCCCAATACTAACAATAAAATAAAAAAAAGGTATTCTGTTATTTGAGTTTTTCAAGGACTGCTCACCATAATAATGCTCTTGAATGCTAAAGTACTAATTGTAAATTCCAATGGAAACAATCTCCACCATAACAAAATATATATTTCTCTTTTTTACTCTCATTATATTTACAAAAATGATCTCTTTTTCTCTGCACCTTTTTAATAACTAAGTAGGATGATTTAGATGCTGAATTGCTAGATGATTTTATCATCATCTTATGTTAATGGGATAATTCTTTTGCATCCTTGATGTTGGACATGACGGGGTTCATCGCTAACCTGATTTTTATTTATATGCTAGCACTGCGCTGATGATGATAGCACGACTAGGCCTCTTTTGCTTGTTACTGCTTCAGTGGATAAAATGGTTCTGAAGAAGCCACTTTGTGTGGACAAAGACTTAAAAATGTCGGGAGCTGTTACATGGGTTGGTCGTTCCTCAATTGAGATACAAATTGAAGTCACTCAGTTTGAACAAGGTATTTCGACAAAAGCAATTGAATGTTTAGTTTTCCTCTGTTCCCAGAAAGTTGATGAAAAGAAAAAGGTTAAAATATATCAGGAAGGTGTTTTACTGTGTGTAAATTGAAGGATTGGTCATGTTTAGTGTAACTTTTTTTTGTTTTCTGATTAATACGCAGAGCCATGAATAACACTCATAACAATTTGTTACTCTAGCTATATTAAATCATCCATATGACACCTGTTTCCTTCTTTTTTTCATGTTCAACATCCAAACTCAGTTAGAAAACAGTTAAGAGTTGGCTTATTATTGATGTTGAGTTATCTGAAAGTTGAAGGTTTTCTTAATTCAAAATACCACATTTGTTTTGTATGACGATATTATTTTGTTTTGTGTCCGCAGAAAATTCGCTACAGTCAGATAGCCTAGCCCTAACAGCTTATTTTACATTTGTTGCCCGTGACTCGAAGACCGGAAAATCTGCTCCTGTAAATCGACTTACCCCAGAAACTAACCAAGAGGAGTTGTTTCTAAAGGAAGGGGAAGCAAGAGATAAACTACGAAAGAGGAAGAGGGAAGAGGCAAAATTGATATTTGACGGTGGGCACAGTGTCCATGGGGAGGTGAAACGATTAAAGAATCTATTGGCAGAGGGCCGGGTGTTCTGTGATCTCCCAGCTCTAGCAGATAGAGATAGTATTCTGATACGGGACACCCGTCTTGAGAATTCACTGATTTGCCAACCTCAGCAAAGAAACCTACATGGTCGTATTTTTGGAGGATTTTTAATGCACCGAGCTTTTGAGCTTGCCTTCTCTACTGCCTATGCCTTTATTGGGCAAAGACCTTGCTTTCTTGAAGTTGATCATGTTGACTTTTTGAAGCCTGTGAGTATTTACTTTACTCTGATTTTTTTCTAATATTCTGTTGATTTCACTGTTATAGATTATTTCTTGTATGGTTGTGTTATTTATTTTACTACCTTTGGGCTTATTTGGTGATGTGATAGCAACCTTTTTTGCACCGCACTAGAGAAATTAGTAGTTATTTATATGCTTGGAATGTTCACCCACTTTTTGAAGCCTGTGAGTATTTACTTTACTCTAATTTTTTTTTTCTAATATTTTGTTGATTTCACTGTTATAGATTATTTCTTGTATGGTTGTGTTATTTATTATACTACCTTTGGGCTTATTTGGAGATGTGATAGCAGCCTTTTTTGCACCGCACTAAAGAAATTAAAAGCCTGTCGGGCCACCCGCCCAATGCCCATGTCTAGTTGGGAGAGATGTCGAAAATTCATGAAAATTTATTTGTGAGATCCGAAGCAAAACATAGAATAGAAACATTAAAAATACGAAATCCCAGAAAATACAAAAAACATCAAGATTTAATGTACAAAAATCCGATTATAGAAAAAAATCATGGAGCCACATCACACCAACAAATTCACTTATGAGAAATGAGAATAATTTTATAAATTACACTACTCAAGCCTCTACACACTTGGGACTCAAGAACACTTCATCTTATTTGCACGAGAAATCTCGAAATTCAACTAAAGAAAAATACGCATTTTAAATATTTTTAGCAACTTTTTACTTAGATTCTAGAATTCTAGTATATTTCAAGTCCATATTGCATAAATATTTTTTAAAGAGATGGGTTTACGAGCTGTTGTGTCGAGCCAGGGATAACTCAAACTCGAGTCATTAGCCCATCGAGCTCAGCTTCTATTTGCTGAGCTGAGCTCGTATGGACTTTACTAAGTACATGCAATGTTTTGTTAAGTATGATTCACATCACATGTTCTTATCGGAATGTTCCCTCCGATCGTGTGACTAGTTCTTTGTTGGGCCACCATTAAGATTGTTATCATCGGACGTATAACAAATGCGTTAAAAGAACATAAGGTGTCCTGATTTCTGTATGCTAGTTCTTATTTATTTTGAGAGACATGCTAATGAAAGAAACTATTGCATCAAGAATAAGCATGTAAACTTGTGAAAGCTTTGTTGGTTCTATATAGGTGGATGTGGGGGATTTCCTTCGCTTTAAATCATGTGTCCTGTACACCCAACTTGAGAACCATGAGAAACCCTCAATCAACATCGAAGTTACTGCTCATGTAACTAAACCTGAGTTCCGAACTAGTGAGGTGAGATTTTTTCGAAGTGCATTTTATTTTGTGACTCAGAAAGTACTCCAGAAATTCAATCGAAAGAGTTCGAAATTAATGCGACTGCCCTCTTTTGTGCATAGCAGGTGTCAAACACATTCTACTTCACATTTACAGTATTGGAGAAGGGAATTAGAATCCGAAATGTTGTTCCTGCCACTGAAGAAGAGGCTCGGCGGGTAATTGAACGCATCGACGCTGAGAAGATGTTTGCTTAGCAGGGAGACTGGGCGACTAAATAATAATTTTCCGTACTGCTGCTTGCTTCCACCAATGCCATTATTATTTTATGTATCTATAGTCTTTGTTATCCCTATAAATATTCAAAAGAATAGAATCGAATTATAAAGCCCACACCCAATGATTACTGCAACTCTTTTCTTTTTGGGAGATTTACATGCATACCGCGCAATTCCTATGTATTCATATATCAATCACCCAAGCATCAATTTTTACCTACAGAGCTCCCAATCTATGCCAAAAATATAGGAATTTGGTGATTTGTATGTAAGATTGAAATTTGAATGGTTGATATGTTGATATACACATAGGACTCGGGTGGTAGGCATATAAACGCCGCCTTTTTTTAATTATTATGATTATATGGTGCACTGAATCATGTCCGTTCTGGAATTTGCAACCAGAAGAAAAGATCGGTTAACCATCATTGCTGAGGCATGTTTTACGCGTTCTCTTTTTTCTTTTCTCTGAATGCCAGAATTTTGTTCTCAGTTGTTTTTTTATACTAGTTAAGAAGAAGCATGGCATGTTTTTGAATTTGAGATAAAAAATCAATTTGGAGGAGATTGAAATGGTTTCCTACAACGCCACCACCAACAATAAAACCTTTATCCTACTAAATGAAAATGGTTTCCTACAACGCCACCACCAACAATAAAATCTTTATCCTCAAATTCTTAATCCCACTGCGTGGGGTCGGCTGCATGAATCCTTTTTCTCCGTTGCATCCTATTTAGTGTCATATTTTCATTTAAATCTAATAAATTTAGATCATTTTTATACAATTGTCCAAGTCCTCCTAGGTCTACCTCTGCCTTGCTTAACATAATCTAAAACAACTACTCTTTTAATCAGATCATCAGATGGTTGACTTTTAATGTGACCAAATCATCGAAGACTACTCTCTCTCTAATTTTGTTCGTCACTGGAGCTGCACCAACCTTATCACGTATATATTCATTTCACATTTTGTCTCTAAGTGTAAAGCCACTCATCCACCTAATCATTCTTATCTAGGCAACACTTAGTTTTATGCTTCTCTTTTAACATGCAACATTCAACACCTTAGAGCATTGCAGGCCTCACCACCATCCTATAAAATTTTCCCTTCAGTCTTAGTACTTTTCTATCACACAATAGGCCTGAAGAATTCCTCCACTTAAACCAACCAACTTAATTTCTACTAATAACATCCCTATCAATGTCGCCATCACTTTGAACAATATACTCAAGATCTCTAAACCGTTTACATCTTTTAATAATTTGATCACTTTACATTTCTGTTACTAGAGCTACTACTACTAAAATTGTATTTCATGTATTCAGATTTAGTCTACTCAAACAAAGGTATTTAGACACCAAGATAGACCTCCATAATTCAAGTTTTTCCTAAGTTTTTTCTCTCGTCTTATCCATGAGAAGGATATCAACAACATAAAGCATACAACAGGGCACATCCCCCTGTAAGTGTCACTAAGACCTTTTATATCCCAAGAAAAAGATGTGGGCTTAAATTCGGTCCCTGATGTAAACCAACATAAATAGGAAAAATGGTTTCCTACAGTATGTTGTATTTTGTCTTCATTTGAAACCTAGAGCTTCGGCTTTTGAAACGTGCTCTCAAGCTTCAGATTGAAACGATAGCCAAGTTTTCAAATTTTTTGTTATTAAAAATAAAAATTATCATTTTTTTAGTTACATTAAAATATTGATTACTAGATTTGAATTTTAAAATTAATTTATGAACTAAAAAACATTTATGATGACTTCAGGTTATACTTTCAAAAGCTCTATGTGTTGAGTCTCCTTGATCATGAGCAAATTATAAATCTCAATTGCGGAGGCAATCGTCAATACAACGTGTTCCCGCCTATTGAAAAGTGGTGGTTTTCACGTGGAAATTATAATCATAATAAAAAAGTAAATATTTTGAAAGTTGGAAGTTTAACTAGATTCAAAAATTAAAATAACATGTTATATATATATATATATATATGGATGAGGGAATGAGGGAAAGTAAGAGAAAGAGAAATAAAATGAAAGGTCAAAGTAATGTTAATTTTCTGAGAGTAGATTCGGTATTCTTAAAAAATCCATCGGGTCATGCTCAATGAATAGAGAGTTGACGCTGGATGAGGGAATGAGAGAAAGTAAGAGAAAGAGAAATAAAATGAAAGGTCAAAGTAATGTTAATTTTCTGAGAGTAGATTCGGTATTCTTTCCTATGAAAATGTTCCTCTTATTTATAGATCGTTAGGGGTCTAATAAATGACATGATTGCTTCCCGCTTATGAGAATGTTATAATGAATTTGCGTAACATCGTAATTGCTAGATTTGGTTGTTTGGCCTCACTTAGTTAGCTAAATGTCATTTGACCGACTAAGAAACTTTCGACAACTCATCTGAGGGAATCCATCTTAAAAACTTATTGTCTTCAAGAAGGGTTATTGACATGCCTAAAATATGTTGCTTGTACTTGCACGTTTGATGTCTATTTTTTCTGGTAATTGTTCTTTAATGAAAGTTATTTTTGATGTTTTTGGTTGTATGTACATTAAATGGAGCAAATAGAGCAAATATAACGAAAATGGAACAAATTAGAGTTAAACGAAGCGAAAAGGCCAATGTTGATCTGGAACATGGACAAATTTTGAAGAGATACTTGAAAAAACTCTTAGGAATTTTGAGAGTTATATTTAAAGAGACTTCTTAAAATTCAAAGGGGAAACTTTTGGAGGAGGAAAATAGAGTCTTTTATAGAGAAGTAAGTTGATTCTTTCTAGAGAGGAGAAAGTATTGGAAACTTGCTTGTACTTGGAGGAGAAAAGGAGAAGTGAGAGATATCTTCTTCACTACAGTTCTAAGTAAGTTTGGAGTGATTCAAAGAAACAAGTAGGATTGCTTGGGAAGGAGTTCAAATATAAGATGTGTATTTTGTTTATTTTTACTTAGTCTTGTCTTGTATACTTTTATTTTTATTCTAATCCATGTGTTATTGTTTCTTCCCCATGAAATCTGAGTAGTTTACTTTGTTTTCTCTCTACAATGAGGAATAATTATGTGTAGAAATGTAGTTTAGTAGAAGTGCTTTTAAAATTCCATAAATTGTGATGATTCAAACTCTATGCTTAATTTACTTATCGATATGAAAATAAATTGTGATGATTCAAACTCTATGCTTAATTTAATTATCGATATGAAAAATTGATTTAAAATCTATTGTAAAACATAGTGACTCGAAATGGACTATGTTCCAACATTGTAAGAATCACATTTAGCCTCATGGATGAGAATGTAGTCCCTGAGATTAAGTGCAAATAAATAGAAAAATAAGTTTTGATGGGCGTAGAATTAGAGATTTTATGGTCACAAACTAAAATCCCCAATTTGGTCTAGATGTTTGGAAACTAAAGCGAGATGTTAGCCCTCAGGTGAGGGGAAGTGGGAACTCTAGAGTGAGAGTTAATATCTTCCCAGCCTAACCACGTGTTTAGGGACCAAACTTTGGATTAGCCAATGTTCTTTATGTTCTTGAGAGAGGGCAAATAATAGAATTGCTCCTATTTGATACAATGCCTTAATTATATTTAAAATTATTTTCCTAGACTAATTATAAACTCATTGTAAGGAGAATGTTGTATTATAGAAATTTGAACTCTTCATACATTGTTAGTCTAGAGCAGTGGTAACTATACATTTAAAAACCTTTTTAGATTGTCCTGCATTTACATTTTGCATTTGAGCATACTTAGCATTCCTTTTAATTTTATATGATTAGATATTACACAAAAACTTGCAATCATTTCCTATATAAGTTTACTACAATTAAAAGAAGGTTTTATTAAAGTCAATTTTAAAAGAGTTTGCCTATCTCTGTGGGATCGATACTGGGATTAAAAAAAAAATCCTATATTACTTGAACGATACGTATACTTGTGTAGTACCTCTAATGTGTAAACCATTTTTATCACCTTTATATAATATTTAATTTTACATGTTAGGAGCTCAATATAAATTGAGTCAAGCTTTTGGCCATATTTCTGAACTTAAATAATTGTGTAATTGAGGCTTGGGTCAAATTTTTGGCGCTGCTACCGGGGATAGAAACGAAACCTTTTTGACTTAGGAAAATCTTTATTGTTAAATATTATAAAAAAACTATAGTGTCGTTTATATATACATGCTTTTGTGTGTATTTAAAAATATAAAATAATAAAAAGAAGATATATTTACTGTTTTAGTTAGTGTGTTTCATTTGTTTTATTATTTATCTTTAAAAGTGTATGCGTAGTGCATGATCTGAAGGTTTGGTACCATACAATTCTAAGTTAGAGCAAACTATTAGAAAAATTAGAAAATAAAAACAAATTCATAATTTTCAAGAAATAACAAATACTTTACACAATAATTTAGAAAATCAAATTGATGAGAATGTATCAAAACCTTTAAGAGATTATGCCAAACCTACAGTAGATGAAATTCATCAAAGTATACAAACTCCTGCCGTAGAAACTAACACATTTGAATTAAAATTTGCTATCATTCAGATGGTAAAAAATAACTAGTTTGGAGGAATTCCATCTAAAGATCCTAACTTACATCTTGCAAGTTTTCTAGAACTTTGTGCCACATTTTAGTATTATGGTGTATTTAATGATGTTGTTAGACTTAGGCTTTTTTCTTTTTCCTTAAGGGATAAAGCTAAAATGCGATTGAATTCATTAAGACCTAGATCTATAAGAACCTGGAGTGACCTAACACAGAAATTCTTGGCTAAGTTTTTTTGACATTCAAAGACTGCTACGCTTAGAAATGATATTACATCTTTTTGTCAGTTTGAAGGGAAATCAATATATGAGGCTTGAGAGAGCTTTAAAGAACTTCTTAAGAAGTGTCCACATCATTCTTTACCCGATTAGTTAATAATTCAAACATATTATAATGAGTTAGTAGGACCTCTTATATCTATTATTGATGATGCTATTGATGGATCATTAATGGCAAAACCTTTTGATGAAGCATATTCTTTAATTGAAGAAATGACTATGACTAATTTTCAATGGCCTTTTATATGGGTAAATCCTAAAAGAATTTCCAATGTTCATGATTCTAACGTTATTTTTATG